AAGAGTTGTTCTATGAGGGCAAAGAAGACCAAGAAGACCAAGCAGTAACTTAGAAGAAGCAAATGGACGGAAGTGAATGGGTCATGTAGAAAAACGCACCCTAATAAATAGTCCATGTGCCCATGGAATGTACGCCTTTGTTTCTAAATAACTGAAATAAATCTGTTACTACAGCCGCTTGGTTTACTCCAGTATCTCAACCCACAGACATTAGTATGATGTACAGGCACATCTCACTTGTCTCAGAAGATGGCTCGGCTGACCAGGGCTGTAAAACTAGGGCAGTTTGCCAGGTCTTATATAACCCGGACTCCTGGAGAGAACAATCACGCCTCATTCATATGACCTGAGCATAGGGTTCATTTGATCGTATCACACTCACACCAAAGTTATGCAGTTTTGATTCGTTTCTTTTCACATCAGATCATGCAGATTTATGTTCGACAGACCATTCACATGCGATGCAGCATGGGGTAGAGGGCAGATATCATACTGCACCTTCACGGAGTCACTCTAAGGACATGGTTTTTGTGCCGTGCGAAGCTGCGGACATGCAGCGTTCCTTGGTTCTAACTTTCTTCAATCTTAACAAGTTGCTGAGATGGACATACAGTTCGTAATTTGGCCACCGCATAGTACGATGTGAAGATGTGAACTTGCAAATGTCGCGGCCCCGTTGTCATAGTCTGTACTTCCTCCGTAAACTAATATAAGAGTGTTTAGATTACTAAAATAGTGATCTAAACGCTTTTATATTAGTTTACAGAGGGAGTACTTTGTAATTTGCTGATCTACTTAGTCCAAGTTATGATATGTATACAGTGATGGATTCGTCGCTGGTATTTACCAATGTTTTAAATAGCGGGCTATGGACAGGGCTGAAGTATGGACAACATCAAGCAGCAAGCAGCAAGCAGGCAAGGATTCTTTCCACCAGTGTGCATTCATGTGGTTATGAGCTTCTTTTTGTAATTTTTCTTAAATGGAGACAAAAGTTTACCTCATCTATGAATTAAGAAGAAAATAGAGTTTGTTTTACAAGGCTCATAAGCCCTCAATACATAAAGGATCGCTCTCCCAATATTATTAACTTCAACTTCTTTGAACCCGTGGTAACCCAAAGCTTAGCCTCACATTTGATTTAATTCAGTAGGATTGGCGGCGGAGCATAGTTGTGCCGGAAGACACGTGCATTTCTTTCATTCGAATTAGTCCAGCTAATAAGCAATGTTGAGAGAGGTCATAGCTTTCCTATTCCGGACACATTTATCGGATAGGTTGGTTCACCATCTTTTATAAGATAGCCTGGAGTGCCAAGAAGATGTGTCAATGTTCCCAAGGTGTAGCCTCATTTGCAAAGTTTCAAAGGCAGAGGGTAAAGTGGCACTTGAAGAAGAGATGCATCCCGGATTCTTGTTCTCTTTTGCAAAGGTAGCGAAGACTACAATTTGGCCAACCTCGCTTGACCAACTGATCGACGGTCCGAATCCTATCTTAAATAGCCAACCAAGCAAAAAGCTTGACCTTGGGAGGGGCACAAGCCTTCCAAACCATCTGCTCCATAGGCAAGTAGAAATTTCCCATGTATTGCGACAAATAAGCGGAAGCCGCCAAGTATAGCCCATTTTCCGTGTGCTTCCAAACTATGTCATCCTCCGCATGCTCATCAAACTGGAAATCTCATAGAAGTATCCAAAGATCAATAATTTGTTGCATGTGATATATGGAGAAGTTGGCCCCGATCTTAAATTTTTGATACCCAAGCATCACCATGGATAGCCCCCCTGTTGGGTATCGTTGCATGGAAAACAAAAAAGTTTCTACGCACATGCAGTGATCTATCCATGGAGATGCATAGCAACAAGGGGGGAGTGTGTCTACGTACCCTCGTAGACCGTAAGCGGAAGCATTTCACAATGCGGTTGATGTAATCGAACTTCTTCGCGCTTCAACCGATCAAGTACCAAACGCACGACGCTTCCGTGTTCTGCACACGTTCAGCTCGATAACGTCCCTCACCTTCTTGATCCAGCAAGACGTCGAGGTAGTAGATGAGTTCTGTCAGCACGACGGCGTGGTGACGGTGATGGTGAAGTGATCTCTGTAGGGCTTCGCCTAAGCACTACAAAAATATGATCGGGGTGTAAACAGTGGAGGGGGACGCCGCACACGGCTAGGCAATTGTCTGGTTTGTGCTAGTGCGCCCCCCACATATATATAGGTGAGAGGGAGAGGGAAGGCTGCCAGGAGGCGCCCCAAGTAGGCCGAATCCTACTTGGGGTCCTCCCCAAGTGGCGCTCCCTGCCATATTTAACCGAGGGAGAAGGAAGGGGGGGGGGGGAGGGAAGGAAGTGGGAATCCTAATCCACACTTTCCTTTTCCTTCTCCCCTTTGCTTCCCCTCCTTAGGCCGGCCCATATGGGAGGCGCACCAGCCCCTTGTGGCTGGTGCGTTTCCCCTCTTGGCCCATAAGGCCCATATCTTTTGTCGGGGGTGCCCGAAACCCCTTCCGGTGACCCGATAAGTACCCGGTAACCCCCGAAACACTTCTGGTGTCCGAATACCATTGTCTTATATATCAATCTTTACCTCTCGACCATTTCGAGACTCCTCGTCATGTTCGTGATCTCATTCGGGACTTCAAACAACATTCGGTCACCAAATCACATAACTCATATAATACTATATCGTCATCGAACGTTAAGCGTGCGGACCCTACGGGTTCAAGAACTATGTAGACATGACCGAGACACCTCTCCGGTCAATAAACAATAGCGGAACCTAGATGCTCATATTGGCTCCTACATATTCTACGAAGATCTTTATCGGTCGAACCATTATGACAACATACTTTGTCCATCGGTATGTTACTTTCCCGAGATTCGATTGTCGGCATCTTCATACCTAGTTCAATCTTGTTACCGGCAAGTCTCTTTACTCGTTCTGTAATGCATCACCTCGTGACTAACTCCTTAGTCGTTTTCTTGCAAGCTTATGATGTGTATTACCGATCGAGAGGGTCTAGAGATACATCTCCTATACTCGGAGTGACAAATCCTAATCTTGATCTATGCCAACTCAACAAACACCTTCGGAGATACTTGTAGATCATCTTATAATCACCCAGTTACATTGTGACATTTGATAGCACATAATGCATTCCTCCGGTATCCGGGAGTTGCATAATCTCATATATAGTCGAAGGAATATGTATTTGACATGAAGAAAGCAATACCAATAAAACTGAACGATCATTATGCTAAGCTAACGGATGGGTCTTGTCCATCACATCATTCTCCTAATGATGTGATCCCGTTATCGAATGACAACTCATGTCCATGGTTAGGAAACCTTAACCATCTTTGATCAACGAGCTAGTCAAGTAGAGGCTCACTAGGGACACAATATTTGTTTATGTATTCGCACATGTATTAAGGTTTCCGATCAATACAATTCTAACATGAATAATAAACCTTTATCATGAATAAGGAAATATAAAATAACAACTTTATTATTGCCTCTAGGGCATATTTCCTTCACCCCCACTCACTTTCTATTTTTTTCAGTGGATGCCTCGTAGATGAATGGGGCGGTCTCTTTGGGCTTCTGGTCGTGCACCCATGGCGCCTCCCAAAAGGGTGTCCTAGCACCACTGCGTACGGTGATGATGGTGGAGGCATATAAGAGATCAAGGCCTTCCTCATCACAGCCTTAGGGGGCGCGCGAATTTTTTGGTGTTCGGCACTCCTAGTTCCCTTCTTTCAAAAGGCCAGTATAGCAAGCCCCAATTCACTTTGCATTTCGCCCTAGTGGTTTTGTTCGAACCGGACCAAAGGAAGGCACGCTCAATCTTGTTATTATTGTGGAGGGTACTCAAATGGATGATGAGGGTGGGTGATGTAGTAAGGTGACACACCCAATGGTGGTGATGTTGCCCCCATCCCGAGGAATGAGCTTGGATGCCACTTTGTCTTCAAGGTACTGAAAGCCAAACCGAGAGGGGAAGCCCTAAGTGTCTCATCGGGAAGGAGGTTCTTGCGGCAGGAAGATTTTGAAGGATTCACCCAAGGTTGAAGTAGCCACATCAAATTGGGACGACCGAGCTCTTTTGAAAGTTGGTAGCGAGGCTCGTGGTATCGCCAAAACATTATAGGATACCGGAGAGGTTGTTAATATCACACTTGATGGGTGCCATGAAAACCGCCACACCGTCCACGTATAGGGAGGTTTGAATCAAGGTACCACGACGTCGAATCTTGCGGAGAAGGGCCCCTTCTAGTTTCCAAGTCAAGAAGATGTTGAAGGGGATCTATTGCAATGACGAATAGAAGGGGAGAGAGAAGGGGGGGGGGGGGGCACTTTACTAAGGCGCCTACCATGCTTGATTAGAGGGCCGGCCACGCCTTTTAGTAAAGACAATATAGATTTACTAATAAAGACATCCACCACATTATAGATTTGGGTATGATTTAATTTTATTTGAGTATGGATAAGAGAAGGCATAAAAGTTCCAATTTAGTTGAGTTTTTGGTGAGATTTGATTTGATTTGGGTATGGGCAGTGAAAGGCAAGAATTTTTTTGATTTAATTGAGATTTTGGTAAGATTTGATTTCATTGAGTTAATGCATGGTGTGGTTTTGTGGAAGTACCAAATTGATTTAGACTGTTCCAAGTTACTCTATTTGTATTATTATTTTTTGCACCATCAGGTGAGATTACTAGAAAAACAACAAATAAATCAAAGAATGAAGGGCGTGGGAAGAAAAAAGCCAAGAAGAAGGCGGACGTGATACACCAACTCTCCTTTAACAGTAGAGATTTGTCGTCCACAACTATATATAGACAATAAAGTTTATGTGACAGTGAAAAGCAACTCCCCAACGATCTAAGTGGAAAAGCACATACAAAGTGGGGACAATCTACCAACAATTTGGAAACAAAAAGTGAAATACAGTAACTCTTTTCAAATCGATCAATCAATCAGTCACTCCTAAATTCACTAGCAGTTCTTGTCGGCTGTGACGGGCTTGCACTTGACCTCCTGGAACACGACGGCCGGCGTGCCCGGCGGCGCGAGCGGCAGCACCAGCGGGCATTTGGCCTCGAACTTGCACTTGGTGTAGTGCGCCTGGTACCAGACCTCGCCCGACACCGCCACCTCCACCTTGAACATCCCCGTCGCGTTCTCCGCCTTGAACTCGGCCACGCCGGCGTTGCCGAGCGCGACGTAGCCGCCGCCGTCGCGGGAGACGAGGTGGTACACCTGGGTGTCGCCAGGGGGTTGCGTGAACCCCTCCTCGGCGAGCCTGATCCGCTCGAAGGGCTGGCCGTCGAAGCTGTAGCGGGCCTCGAGCGGCTTGGTGTTCCTGACGCTCATGGCCCAGTTCTTGTTACGGACGGTGAGCGTGAGCGAGAGGTTGTAGGCGAACGCGGTGGCCGGGGAGACGGCGAGCGCGAGGCGCGTGAGGGAGGCGTCCCTGACGGTGACCTCGGCGTGGCGGATGAAGCCGTAGGCGGCGAGGAGCACGGCCAGGAGGACGGCCCCGGCGAGGACGGCGAGGCAGACGGCGCCGCAGAGGATAGCCTCGCGCGCGTCGTAGGAGACGCAGGGGCAGCAGCGGTCGCAGAATGCGTCGTAGCAGCCGCACTCGCTGCAGCACATGGCGCCTCAGCCTGGTTTCTTGAGCTAGCTGGATCTTGTTGGACCGGGACCGGGAGTGGCAGCAGGAGGAAGAAGCTAGCTACGTGACGTGAGGTAGCGGCAGCCGGCAGGTGGGTGGCGGCTCTGGACGAGGGCAGGGAAGGGAACCAGATCCCTGACGGACAGCAGCGGCAAAGCAGCCAGGTGCCCGGGCGGGGCATAGCAACGACTGGACGATGCATTTTGGACCCAAATTTAGGCCTTAAATGCATCAGCGCAAACACGAAACGGACGCGTCGCGTATCCCTTCGGTGTCCGCCTGACAGTGTGTGGATGGGTCATATGCCCGTCCCTTTTAATGAAAGCGCGCAGCAGCGCCGGCCTCATCCACTTCCATCTCCCTGTCCACATCTAACCACGCTTGCTCTCTCGTCGGCGACCAGAAAACCCTAGCCAGACAACCACTAGCCATGGACTTCTTCAGCGGGAAGTGGAAGGGAAGGTTCAACGTCGACTCGAGCTCTTCCTGCATGCTTCCTTCTTCACCGGCTAGACGCGGTTTGCGACCGCGGGAGCGGGAGCGGCTGTACATACCTGTCCACTGGGCGCGGTGGCACTAGCAGTACCACCGGTCCCTGCAGTATCCAAATGTCAAGTTGCCGCACTTTTGGCATCTGGACCTGCACCGGATCCCCATTCCGTTGGTGTCGTGCTCGGCGCGAGCGCACGCCGAGGAGGTTCGCCGGCGTCGCAGGCTTCTTACACTGGAGCAGCGCCCGATGTGTGCCTACGCGCCAGACTCCCCCAACTGGGAGTGTTGGTTTGCGCTGGAGCACGAGGAGGAGCGTCGCCGCGGCGTCCACGTTGACCACGACATTTCCCCGCCGCCGCCAGTGGTTTTGCCAGAGGAGGAGGAGGCGGAGGTGGCGAACCAAGCCGCGCTCGAGGAGGCCCTGCAGCGCGAGTTGGAGGCGAGGCGACTCGAAGATGACGCCCATTGGGATGGGCTGGACCACGCCCTCGCCTTGTCGGCGACAGGGGACTCTGTCCACGCTCCATTGTTTGTCTCGCCACCGCCGCCCTTCGTCGAGCCCAAGGCCGAGCCCGAGCCCGAGCCTGTTGGAAATATGCCCTAGAGGCAATAATAAAATGGTTATTATTGTATTTCCTTGTTCATGATAATTGTCTATTGTTCATGCTATAATTGTATTAACCGGAAACCGTAATACATGTGTAAATACATAGACCACAACATGTCCCTAGTAAGCCTCTAGTTGACTAGCTCGTTGATCAATAGATGGTCATGGTTTCCTGACCATGGACATTGGATGTCATTGATAAAGGGATCACATCATTAGGAGAATGATGTGATGGACAAGACCCAATCCTAAGCACAGCACAAGATCGTGTAGTTCGTATGCTAAAGCTTTTCTAGTGCCAAGTATCATTTCCTTAGACCATGAGATTGTGCAACTCCCGGATACCGTAGGAATGCTTTGGGTGTGCCAAACGTCACAACGTAGCTGGGTGGCTATAAAGGTGCACTACGGGTATCTCCGTAAGTGTCTGTTGGGTTGGCACGAATCGAGACTGGGATTTGTCACTCCGTGCAAACGGAGAGGTATCTCTGGGCCCACTCGGTAGGACATCATCATAATGTGCACAATGTGACCAAGGAGTTGATCACGGGATGATGTGTTACGGAACGAGAAAAGAGACTTGCAGGTAACGAGATTGAACAAGGTATCGGGATACCGATGATCGAATCTCGGGCAAGTACTATACCGGTAGACAAAGGGAATTGTATACGGGATTGATTGAATCCTCGACATCGTGGTTCATCCGATGAGATCATCATGGAACATGTGGGAGCCAACATGGGTATCCAGATCCCGCTGTTGGTTATTGACCGGAGAGTCGTCTCGGTCATGTCTGCGTGTCTCCCGAACCCGTAGGGTCTACACACTTAAGGTTCGGTGAGGCTAGGGTTGTAGAGATATAAGTATGCGGTAACCTGAAAGTTGTTCGGAGTCCCGGATGAGATCCCGGACGCCACGAGGAGTTTCAGAATGGTCCGGAGGTGAATATTTATATATAGGAAGTCCAGTTTCGGCCATCGGGAAAGTTTCAGGGGTAATCGATATTGTACTGGGACCACCGGAAGGGTCCCGGGGGTCCACCGGGTGGGACCACCTATCCCAGAGGGCCCCATGGTCTAAAGAGGGAGAGGAACCAGCCCCTGGTGGGCTGGTGCGCCTCCCATGGGCCTCCCCCTGCGCCTAGGGTTGGAAACCCTAGGGGTGGGGGCGCCCCACCTGACTTGGGGGGCAAGTCCCCCTTGGGCGCCGCCCTCCTTGGAGATTGGATCTCCTAGGGCCAGCGCCCCCCTAGGGGCCCTATATATAGTGGAGGGGAGGGAGGGCAACCGCACCCAAGTCCCTGGCGCCTCCCTCCCTCCCGTGACACCTCTTCCTTCCCGCTTGTGCTTGGCGAAGCCCTGCCGGGATCCCGCTACTTCTACCACCACGCCGTCGTGCTGCTGGATCTCCATCAACCTCTCCTCTCCCCTTACTGGATCAAGAAGGAGGAGACGTCTCTCCCCACCATAGGTGTGTTGAACGCGGAGGTGCCGTCCGTTCGGCGCTTGGTCATCGGTGATTTGGATCACGACGAGTACGACTCCATCAACCCCGTTCTCTTGAACGCTTCCGCTTAGCAATCTACAAGGGTATGTAGATGCACTCCTCTCTCTCATTGCTAGTCTCTCCATAGATTGATCTTGGTGATACGTAGGAATTTTTTTGAATTTCTGCTACGATCCCTAACAGTGGCATCATGAGCTAGGTCTATGCGTAGATTCTATGCACGAGTAGAACACAAGTTGTTGTGGGCGTTGATTTTGTCAATTTACTTGCCGTTACTAGTCTTATCTTGATTCGGAAGCATCGTGGGATGAAGCGGCCCGGACCGACCTTACACGTACGCTTACGTGAGACTGGTTCCACCGACTAAAATGCACTAGTTGCATAAGGTGGCTAGAGGGTGTGTCTCTCTCCCACTTCAGTCGGATCGGATTCGATGAAAAGGGTCCTTATGAAGGGTAAATAGAAATTGGCATATCACGTTGTGGTTTTGGCGTAGGTAAGAAACGTTCTTGCTAGAAACCTATAGCAGCCACGTAAAAACTTGCAACAACAATTAGAGGACGTCTAACTTGTTTTTGCAGCATATGCTGTGTGATGTGATATGGCCAAAAGGATGTGATGAATGATATATTGAGAAACAGTGACAACCGGCAGGAGCCATAGGAGTTGTCTTAATTTATTTATGACCTGCGTGTCAACTTATACGTCATGTAATTACTTTACTTTATCGCTAACCGTTAGCCATAGTAGTAGAACTAATAGTTGACGAGACAACTTCATGAAGACACGATGATGGAGATCATGATGATGGAGATCATGGTGTCATGCCGGTGACGACGATGACATGGCGCCCCGAAGATGGAGATCAAAAGGAGCAAAATGATATTGGCCATATCATGTCACTATTTGATTGCATGTGATGTTTATCATGTTTTACATCTTATTTGCTTAGAACGACGATAGCATAAATAAGATGATCCCTCACCATAATTTCAAGAAAGTGTTCCCCCTAACTGTGCACCGTTGCTAAGGTCCGTTGTTTCAAAGCACCATGTGATGATCGGGTGTGATAGGTTCTAACATTCGCATACAACGGGTGTAAGCCAGATTTACACACGCAATACACTTAGGTTGACTTGACGAGCCTAGCATGTACAGACATGGCCTCGGAACACGGAAGACCGAAAGGTCGAACATGAGTCGTATAAAAGGTAGGATCAACATGAAGATGTTCACCGATGATGACTAGTCCGTCTCACGTGATGATCGGACACGGCCTAGTTGACTCGGATCATGTATCACTTAGATGACTAGAGGGATGTCTATCTAAGTGGGAGTTCATTAGATAATTTGATTAGATGAACTTAATTATCATGAACATAGCCAAAAGGTCTTTGTAAATTATGTCATAGCTCACGCTTTGGTTCTACTGTTTTAGATATGTTCCTAGAGAAAATTTAGTTGAGAGTTGACAGTAGCAATTATGCGGACTGGGTCCGTAAACTGAGGATTGTCCTCATTGTTGCACAGAAGGATTATGTCCTTAATGCACCGCTCAGTGTGCTGAACCTCAAGCGTCGTCTGTAGATGTTGGGAAAACATCTGACATACACGTTTTGATGACTACATGATAGTTCAATGCGTAATGCTAACGGTTTAGAATTGTGGCACCAAAGACGTTTTTGAAACGTCGCAGAACATATGAGATGTTCCAAAGACTGAAATTGGGATTTCAGACTTGTGCCCACGTCAAGAGGTATGAGACCTCTGACAAGTTTCTTAAGCCTGCAAACTAAGGGAGAAAAGCTCAATCGTTGAGCATGTGCTCAGATTGTCTGAGTACTACAATCGCTTGAATCGAGTGGGAGTTAATCTTCCAGATGAGATAGTGATTGTTCTCCATAGTCATTGCCACCAAGCTATTGGAGCTTCGTGATGAACTATAACATATCAGGGATAGACATGATGATCCTTGAGCAATTCGCGATGTTTGACACCGCGAAAGTAGAAATCAAGTAGGAGCATCAATTGTTGATGGTTAAACCACTAGTTTCAAGAAGGGCAAGGGAAAGAAGGGATACTTCATGAGACGGCAAATCAGTTGCTGCTCTAATGAAGAAACACAAGGTTGAACCAAACCCGAGACTAAGTGCTTCTGTAATGAGGGGAACGGTCACTGAAGCAGAACTACCCTAGATACTTGGTAGTTGAGAAGGCTGGCAAGGTCGACATAAGTATTTTGGATATACGTTATATTAATGTGTACTTTACTAGTACTCCTAGTGGCACCAGGGTATTAAAATACCGGTTCAGTTGCTAAGTGTTAGTAACTCAAAATAAAAGGCTACGAAATAAATGGAGACTAGCTGAAGGTGA